TATAATAAAAGTGACCTTTTTAGCCAAAAAGAACGCTTGATAAACTTTGTGATACACATTGGAAAAATAAATATAGTGCAGATCTGCGAAGATCTGTGACCATAGAATTTTTTATCAAAATTTGCGATATCTTGTGATCCAACACTCCAAATTTAACGAAACAAGTACCATTCGATTCGCCTTGATAAGACAAATCAGATAGTACCAAATTCATTAAATTTCGATTACTGGAACATGAGATAATTGCATTTAAGTAAATATTACAACCACTTCACGAACTTGTTAATTCATGTTCCAAATTTGATGATTTTGGTACCATTTGATTTCTCTCGATAAGACAGTTTGAATGATATTAAAAACGTTAAAATTCGATCACTGAGTATCAAGATATTCGCAAAATACGTTTCGCTGTGCAGTTCTGCACAGAAAAAAATTGCAGAACTGCGCAGAACTACGCTGCGAAATGTATTTTGCGAATATTTCGACACCTAGTAATCGGATTTAAACGTTTTTGATACCATTAAAACCGTCTCATCGAGAGGGATTGAATGGTACCAAAATCATCAAATTTTGACTACTGGTTAGCAAGTTCGTAAAGTGGTTGTAATATTCATTTAAATGCGATTATCTTACATTCCAGTGATCGAAATTTAATGAATTTAATATAATCCAATCCGCCTTATTGAGGCGAATAGAATAGTACTTGTTTCGTTAAATTTGGAGTGTTGGATCACGAGATATCACAAATTTTGATGAAAAATTCTATGGTTGCAGATCTTCACAGATCTGTACCATATTTATTTTCCCAATATAGAACACCATCACAGACATGGAACATTGTCTGGGATATGGGACATTATCCAAGACTGTCTGCGTCACTAAAATTTTCACAGGACAATGTCTGTATACAACACTGCTTAAGCCGACACTGTCTAGATAGCAGAATATAAATCTATATACCAGTTTTTTTTTTTTCCTAGAACAATCATATGCTGATTCATCAACGCAGAATGAATTTGACATACCAGCGTATTTTCAAAGCATATTCTCAACTGAAGAAAGCGTGCTTGAGGTTTGATTTGACATGGTTAAATTTTCAATGTCCTTAAGTATTAATATTCTCTACTACATAGATACCTTCTTTAAATGATATTTCTGTATACGATATTCCACATCATTCTCTTGTTCGCTTTCGAGCCATGATTCAGAACACAGGATTTGGGCACGAAATGTTTGTAAGCTTTTACGAAACATCGGATCATAAGGGTAACAAGGTAGTTCTATATCTTTAGTAGTAATTCGTTTCATTAAACGTAAGAAGTGCACTCATTTGGATAATTTTAATTTTGCGATGCAGAAATGGAAATTCAACAAGTATTCAGACGATATGGATACGGTTATTAAAAGATGGATTAAATGATAATTGCTTTTATCACTTTGTTAAATCTCACGCTTCTGATTCATGTAGGATGTAATGTTTGACTTCGATCCGAATATGCATTATAATCAATTTGATGAGAGATATTTATATTATTGCGTATCTGTTCCTGGGGAAACACAATGGGCTAAACAGATATCCTGACAATTTAATTTTGATAATTACCAAGAATTAATTTTATTCAAATAATTACATCTTAACTTGAATCCCACATTTATAGACAGGAATGTCAGTCGTTTGATGAAACAGGAACAGACATCGAAGGTTCTTGTAAACTTCAGATGTAGTAACAAAATTAAACAGATTATTTGTCTAAAATGGGTGTAATTTTGTTAGAAATTGTGAGATCAACGGCGAATATGCATTTGGACAGTAGTAAGGACGAGGATAGATTTAAAAAAGTCGCATCCAAATTTCCATTTCCTAATGAAGATCACGTTGCAGCTATAATAAAAGTAATGTATCACTATTTTTTGCTACAAAATAAGAATATCATAATTGAAATATTTTCTTTGTTTATATAGTTTTATGAAAAAGATGATTCTCTTAAAGTAACTGATGTTGTTGAATTCATCGGTGTCCTTTCTCACCCTAAGTATGCTTTGAATTATGTTTGGAATCACATATCATGTCAAATCTCAATTACGGATGTCTCATGCGTTAACTAGAGAATTAAGCGATGATGAACTAGAACAAGACGATACAGAATGTAGCTTCGATGTTACATTCTCTATTGTTCCTTGT